ATTGCAAATGTACATAAATTGCACAGCCACATCATTTCTTGGAACACCAACAACTTTCTCTGTACATTATTACATAGTTTAAAAGGAGCTGAAGAAGATTCAGCACACACTTCCACTTTGTTGTGGTTTTTTTTTTAAACATACTTACAAAAAAAATGTGTTTTTCTTTATAAGAGGATATAAAACATAGCAACTGCTTATCAGGAACAAGTATCAGCCTAAGCAGATATACAGAGAGAGGTATATCTTAAGACACAGTGATGTATGATAAAGGAATATGTGAACATGGAGACTAAACTCAGGAGTACTGGGAGCTGATGCAGAACCACATGGCATTTACAGCAGGGTCACAGTTTGGGTGATCTGGGATAGTCAATGCTTGAATGTGACGCCCTTGTTCAAAGCCTGGTTGTGTCTGAATGTTGTGCAAGGCCCTCATGACTGGATTTGGTTTGTAAGGCCTGTGAGCTGCATGTGGACATACTGCTGCTGTCCTCCCTCTCCCCACATCTGAGATTCTCCTCCCGGGGTAAAGAAAAAGGCAGCAGTTGCCCATGCAGGGTCAGCAGGGCTTGGTGGCTCTCACAGCTGGGATGGTGCCTCATGTCCAAGCCTTGTGGCTGAGCTATCTGCTCTGAAACTGCCCTCCAGTCAGGGTTGGTTCAGGGATCTTATGGTAGCCATGACCACACCAGGTCTCAGTACTGGCCTGGCTTCCTCTGCCCACAAGCTGTTGGGGAAGGGTTGACCCCAAGCCATGGTGGGTGGGAAGGATGGAGCTGCCTGGGAGCCCTCCAGCCCAGGGACAGGGGCAAAGGGCACTGTTCTTCCCTTTGGAGTTTTTGCTTCATGCTCTCCAGGCGTGTTGGGGACAGGGCAGGGACCTTGGCAGAGCTGCTGGCACTGCTGGTCACAGGTGCTGCTGGCAGAGGTGTCTCCCAGGGGCTTCTCCCCCTGCACTGGGATGGCAGGGGAATGAGCCCTGTGCAGCTCAATGAGCTGCACTTTGGGGCTGTCCTGGACAAACACATCAGTGCATCATCTTCCATCTCCTGGGACTAAAAATCCTCCCCCTGTTCATCAGAAAAGACCTTGCTGTGGTTTCTGTTGCATTTGGGTATGGACAATAGTAGCAGAGAAGGCCTAAGAGCACTGAACTTTGGAAAGGATTAATTGCTTGCTGATTGCTTTCCTAGGAGAGCCTTGCTCAGGTCCACCAAGTCCCTTTTCCCTTTAGGAATATCTGTAGTAGCAGAACCTGTGTCCTGTACCCTGCAGCACCCTCTGGGGCTGGCTTCCAGGCCAGGATTCAGGTGTTCTCACAGTGCAATCAGTGCTTTACAACTGCAAAAGCAGGAAACAAAAAACAACGGGACTTGAATGACAATGCAGTGACACAGGACTCTTTGGATGGCAGCAGGATTTGCTTAAACGGGTGCAAAAGGGGCTGGTGACCACACTGTAGTATTTGTTGGCCTGGAGAAGGACTTGGGTCCCTCCAGTCTTTTGGCACTGAAGCCATAAGTGATGCTTACAGTCCACAGAGACCTTAGGATACAGTTCAGTCCATTTCATCCCCCTTTACACAAAACTTTGCTCATTTCTCAGCAGTGTTCACTACAGTTCAATAAAACCCCAAATAAAACTCTTAAAACAGAATCCTTGAGGAGGACCAACACCAAATCTGGATCCCAGGCTTCTCTCTCTTCCCCTTCCCTCAGATCCCCAAAGGGAGGAGGCTGAAATCATAACCTGTGTCTGGATCCAGATTTGGTAGTTTGGGTCCAGCTCTGCAGAACAGCAGTGAGATACAGCCAATCCTGACCCAATAAGCAGCACCAGAAGTAAGTTACTATATACACCTGTTAGTGAGATAGATACGTTACAGTAAACACTGAAAACATTTACAAAAAAAAAAAAAAAAAGACTTGTATTAAGATAAAAATCTAAGTGTGTTTTCCTTTTGTTCACACTTGGAGGCGTTTGCAGCACAACCTCTCACTGGGAAAGCACGTGAACGAAGAGGAAACCGGAGCCGCTCCCAAACGCTACGGGCAGTGGTTGCTTTGCTCTGGGGCCAGAGGCACCTCTGGGGTGGCTTCTGGGGTGGATTTGCTACACCAGGAACCAGGGATGAGGCCACCTCAGGGAACCTGGCCACGGGAGCTCACACTGGCTCCCTTGCTCACACACACACACACACACACACGTGCACATACCCACACGTACAGTTTATAAATAACAGAAACACAAACTGAAGTAACAGAACTGAACTGAGCCTGGATCTTTAAACCTACCCCCAAAGCTTCTTAGGGTCATGGGCGGGTCCAGTTGTTGACAGTTGTGGGGAATGAGTTGGGAAAAAGGAGTGGGGTGGGGCAATCATTACTGTAATGAGCCTTTATCCTGATTTTTAATTTCTTTGCATACTGGCTCAGGAAACTAAGCAACAACTCCAGCAGGTATTGGCACTGGAACAGCTAAGACTTTAATAACTCTCTGTGGAAGGATTTGAGCATTCCTACTATTTCGGCAGAACAATGTATGTTCAGTAATTTGCAAGTTTGAGGTTAACCAGGAGTTTCAGACAGATCAGGGTGAGGGGGGGGGGAGCAGCGCCTTGGCTTGTGGTTGAGAAGATTAAGCTGTGCTGTGCTTAGCTTCAGTACTAAACAATTGTTTTGTGGGTGTTTCTTTTTTCCAGCTCTTATGGAGAGCACTGACTGCATCCCAAAGTTACTGTGTAGGAATGGAAATGCTGCTGGTGGGGCCTCGGCCCCGTGCCCTCTTAGTGTTTCCATTCCTCTAGGTTCCTTCTCTCTTGAAAAACTTCCATCTCTCACAACACAAATATTTTGGAACTCAAAAACAATCAGCTCTAAACACACATCTCAGGGCAACAGCAGTTTAAAATAGTCTTTTTTTTGCAGGGTTCTTACAATGGGTCTGACTCTGAGCTGCTGGCAGGTGTCAGTGTACGTACCCAACGGCCTCAGTACCCCGGGTGCTCCTAACCTGTCTGGGTCTTTCTCCAGTTGTAACCTTGTCAGGTTTGTGAGGTTCTTCAAAGCCATCTGTGCTAGTCTCCAAAATGCAAAGGTGACTGTACTTGTCATAAATAGTTACTAGTTTGCTCTGAGGAGCTCCGGCAGGGCTCTGCGGTGACTGCCCCGCGCTGCAGGCGTTGCTGGCTGTGGAGGCCTCAGTGCACCACGGTGGCTCCCCCCAGGAGCAGGCGGCACCGGGCTGGGCCCAGGGCTTCCAGGGAATAGAAAAACGTTTAGGAAAAAATAATAGTAATACAAAAAGATCTTTACTTTTGAAAACAATTGCATGTGGAAGAATGCTGTTAGGGAGCCTGAGGGCTGCGGGCAGCATGGCAAGGCAGCGCTTACTGGCAAAGTGTCCCGCTCAGGCAGCCTAGGTGGGGTGAGGCTGGAGATGGAACCTACGCTGTGCAGAGCCCCGTGGACATCCTAGTCCCTTTGTACATTTACACATGGCAGGAGGAGCTAGGACAGGCGTTGAGCAGTGCATTAAACTTTAGTGGGAGGAATAGGCAGATGTCCTGTACACTGTACACTGTCAGCCGTATCTCAGAGAAATCTCTGGCCCTTGGTACGAGGGACCTGCTCTGAGACTGGGAGTTGTGAAGGACTAACTTAAAAAAAGAGCAACAAAGACCGTGGCGGGAGGGCAGCGGCACCAGCCCCCGTTAAGGAGGTGACCCCTCTGCTGAGCACAACGTGTCTGGCTGTGCCGAGCTGCCTTTCAGCAGTCAGGAAAGTCTAATCCTGGCTTATGCCTGCACAGAGCTCCTGACAAGGGGGCTTTCGCTGGTGGCTGCTGTTCCTGTTGGTTACTCCCTTATGACCATGTTTTACATTCTTCGAGCCGGTTAATTTCCATGCAGTGCTCATTCCCAATTTAAAGAGGACAGTATTCCAGAAAATGGGATCTTTTTTTTTCTAATGCATACTGTGAAAGAAAAGAAATACAATTACCAATCTTCATGGTTCTTCAGGGCTTTTTCTTGTTTCTTTGTCTTTCTCCCCAGAAATAGTACAAATGTCTGCACAGAGCATGACATCCCCACAATGACCCCTCTGTCCAGCAAGGAGCTGGCTGTGGCACATAGCCCCTCACTCCCCCTCTACCACAGTGGGCACTAGGAAATCCAGCACCTGCACCTTGTTCACAGCTTGTGGACCAAGCTCAGGCAACATCTGCTTTATTCTGGGGCTAGAAGTGTGTGTGTGGGGACAGTGCCCTGGGGGCTACTGCTTATGAAAACTTCCCTATGAAGCAGAAGCTGGAGAGAGGAATCAAGTCACCATTGACTAGCTCCTTCCTCCACCTGCCTGCCAGAGCCTTGGGCTTGCTCTGCTCCCCTGGGCTGCCTGGGACCCCCAGCAGAGCCAGCCCTTCCCTTCTCCACTCCTCTGCCACTGTAGCCCCCCATGTAGCTCCCCCTGGGCCACAGTGGCACCCTGACCTTTCATAAGGACTGTGCTCCCTGAATGGGTGGAGTTAATTAAACAGTAATGAGCTGCAGTCACCTGCTGGAGAAGTCAGTGGCCTCACAAATGCCACAGAGGGGAGAGGGCTGTGCTCCGGGGGGGCAGGCCAGCTTGGCTGCCATCCCTCCTGCTGCTGCATCCAGCAGCATCCTTCCACTGGCCTGCCTGGGCCTCTGCCTGCTGCAGGCTCTGCCCAGCTCCCTTTATTTCGCTTACTGCAATGACAAGGACCTTATTCCTTGCTGGGAGGGGTGAGACAGATCCTTTGGGCAGTTTAGAAGGAAAAGGTTACTTTTGTTTAAACATTAAAACACTGATTCGAATCCAACAGTGACAGCGCTTCTCAAATAGCTGTTATTTCCTTATGCCACTCCTCTCACTCTGGATCTCTGTCCCCTCAACGTGCTGGCATTAGCATCTCCCACCAGGGCTGAGTCAGGCGCGGTCCGCAGCAGGGAGCTGGTGTCTCTGCAGGAGCAGCCGTTCTCGGAAGCCGCGGCTCTCCTGCTGCACGGTCCCCGGGCCTCCTCCCGCGGCAGCGCCCTCGGCAGGTTAACAATTACTGCTGTTTCTGAATTCTCCATTCTCTGTAATCTGCAATTTGGTTGGGTTTGTGGGGGAGATCCCATTACGTGTCTGCATGCTGTACCTCTCTTTCAGCTGCGTTAGGGCACTCATTAACCGTGCGTTGGCAGCGTCCAGGGAAGCGATGCGTTTCTCCTGCAAAGGAAGGGGCAGAGGGGATGGTCAGTGGGAAGGGATGGAGACCTGTCCCTCTGTGATGCCAGGGCTTGTCCTGAGACAGGGACCCAGAGGCCCCTTGGACTAGGACCTTTCTCTCTGGCATTCTCAGGTGTGGGCTTTCTAAGTGCTAGACAGAAATCTCACTGCTATTAACAGGGCACCAAAGGTGCTTTGCCTGTGGAACGTGAGCTGGATTCACACGAGCATCCTGAACAAAATGGAGAGAACAGTTTCTCTAAATCTTCAGTTATACAGAAATTCACTGTACTGATTGCTCTAACTGCAGCTGTTACAAAGATGGTAAGATTCCTCTAGCACTCTCCCAAGGCAGTTATTCTTGTCAGTGTTTAATTGATTTTTGTTAGTGTAAATTAATAGTTTCAATGACTTGTAGCCTCCCAGGATGGCTCTGATGGCATCTCTCATGGATTATAGTATGGTAAGGATGGGAGCAAGAGCTTCTGTGTTGCAGCCAGTTGCTGCCTCTCCTGCTTTTGGTGGCACTGAACAAGTCACCATCCTTCTCCATCTGCCACCACCAGGAGGGACCAGAACAAGGCAGAGGGGCATGGCCACTTGCCTCTGTGTCACTTGGAAGGTCCACCACTGTACATGTTCAACACTCTTGTACAGCCTGAGATGACAGGGAGAACAGTGCAGCCTGGCCCCTGGAGAACCTCCCACATATCAACCGAGGAGGCAGGAACAGGGCAGCCAGAGCTCCTTGCGGGCACTGCTGGAGCACAGGTGGGAACAGGATGATTTCCCAGCCCTGAATGAATTACTGCACAGAAACACTGTCATTCTTTTTACAAAGTTACTACTGTCTCACCTCCTTTTTAATTAGCTATACAGTAAATTAGTCATGAGTAGTGACTCACAAGGGATTAATAGTGTTGTTAAGAGGAAGCTTCGAATATCCTGTTACCCAGCCACAACCTGTAGGAAGGCTGAGCTGCTGAGATGCTGATCCCTGCCTAGACAAAGTACAAGATTATGGACTATATTTTCACATTCTCTTTTCTAAAGTGTCATGTTTTGCACCCATCATCTGATGCTCCTCTGCTGTTATAATCTGTAGGAATAACTGAGCTTCCCAATCTTGGAAGCCACAACCCAAAGGCTGTTGGCTTTGCTCTGGCCAGGCTGTGTGCTCCTCACATCCAGGTCCTAGAGGCATTACTGGAACATGCAGCCCCAAGCAATGCTCTGGGGACCTGAGACTGAGCCAATGAGGATGTGATCCTTCCACAAACTGACTGAACTGTGGGCAGGATCCTTCCACCAGCTGCCACCCCTCAGTGCCCCCTGCCCAGCTCCAAGGCTGCAAAGAGCTGTACGAATGTGAAAGCTGTGACAATAAATGACATCCTGTGACCAGCTCTGTCACTGCCAGCAGCTCTGCTGACTCACCCAAAGGCACAGTCCTGTCGTGCTGCCTGGCAGGGAGGCTGCTGGCACTCACCCTGACAAGTGCTGCAGCCCTTGGGGTTGGGACTCACCTGTGCATCGATAATCTTCTGCTTGGAGTCCACAGCAGCCTGCATTTCTGCATGATCCTTCTTTAACTCCTCCTCAACTGACATCAACCTGGTAGCCAAACGGACAAGACAAAAAATTACATTTGTTGGGTTCTGCTAAGCCCACATAGTCTCACACACATCTGTATCAGCCACCCAGAGTGAATGATGCAGATCTTGTCCTCATTTAGCCTTGACATTAAGGAAGCTAAGGGGTGATGTATAGCTCTGAGGCACACGGGAAGAGATGTGAACTACCAGAGAAGCTCAGCCTACAGGTGGAACTGGCATCACACAGCAGCCCTCATCACCCATACCAGGTCAAACCACCTCATCTGAAACTGCAGTGCTGAGGCACACAGACCAAGATGCTCACAGGACCTGCAGTTGTGCATTTGAACACAAAGAAGACACATATTCATCGGTACCACCTCTTCCTACACACTAAACCAGTAGTTTAGAACCAGTCTTTCTTCTGGCTCCTGCTCTTCTCCACAGACCTCTACAGCAGACTGTCCCAAAGCTTAAGTGACACAGGTACATGAAGGCTGACCTATTTATGAGGGCTGATGAACAGCACCAAGTTGGCAGAGATGAAATGAGCTGCACTGAACGGTCTGTGTCCTGGGCAAATGTAAACACCACATCCCGCTGGGCAGGGAAAGGGATTTACAGCTAGGAGTGGTGGGATGATGTCACCACAAGATCTTTAGCTAATCACCAGGAAAAGAACATTTTGATCATTAAATCTATTGCAAGCTTGCGAGACCCTCCAAGAACTGGGCTGCCAGCTCTCCCCTTCTGAAGCTTTGCCTTTGTCAATCAAGAAAATGTTGGGGTTTTCCTCATCCCAGGTAGCACTGATAGGGACAAGCCTATCAAAGAGTCAAGGTTTGAAATCCCACACAAGGGGCTGTAACCCAGAAGGGCAGTGAATAAATGCAGGAAAATCCACATGGGAAACCTGTTTGCACCTCTAAAGAAACATGATTCTTCTGACCAGGGATCAGCTCTACCACCGGCCAAGCTGCCTGCCTTACTGTCATCTCCAGCACTTCCACCTCCCCTGTACCTGCTGATGATGCCCTTCATCTGGATCTCCTTGTCCTCCTGCTGCCTGCGGAGCCGCTCCTCGCTCTCCTCCAGCCTGGCCTGGTACTCCAGCATCAGCTTCTGTGTTGTCTCTTCCTGGCACTTGAAGCGAGTCTCGTATTCCTCCAGCTTCTTGTTGGAGATGCGGAGCTTGTCCTGCAGCAGCACTAAGTCCTGCTGGTACTACAGCACGTGGGGACAGACACGGGAGGAGAAAACACATGTGGTGTGTTACTGAGTAGGGCTTTGCTCTTGCCAGGGTTTCCCCATAACCCAGTTAAGCCCCTCTCCTGGCATCAACTGGCTGCAAACCCGGGTCAGACAACCCCTCGTGCCGACACCTCCTCTTCAGTCTTCTCCGCGCTGCGCCAGGAGCGATGCTGCGTCCCCGGGCAGGTCACTGGCAGGTTCAGAGAAGGGGTTGTTAGCAGAGTCTGGCGTTTCACAGGGGATGCAGGTTAGAGGGACTGAACAGCAAACACGTCTGGCAACGTCCTCACAGTAACAGCGCAGGGAAAAGGCAGGCAAGGGAAGCTGCACGGGTGGGGTTTTGGGTTTACACATGAGCTCTTCAGGCTACAACAATAACTGGGAGTGCTTTGGAGCTGTTTTGGAGCTGTTTTGGAAGCCAAGCAGGAGCTGCTGGTGCTGCCTGGGTCCTGCCAGGCTCTGCAACAGGGACAGACCAAGGCTACTGCTGCCTTGGCACCAAGTGGTCACTGCTCACCGAGGAGGAGTCAGCAAGCGCTGCTGCCTCGTGGGTCCTGGCATTTCCAACAGCCCCATCAGATGTCAAGCCAGGGTTCGCTGCATGAAGAGCTGCTGTGTGAAGCCAAGACCCCACAGCTGTACTGTTCATTCAGCTGAAGCTAAAAACCAGCAGCAGAAAAATCACATAAAGCAATTAAAAAACATTAACAGCTTTCTAACTTAGTAATACTGGGTTCAGCTATTGCAGAAGCACAGCACTTGGTACAACTTGCTTTGCTAAAGGAAAATCCATCCTGCATCTGTATGGAAAAACCCCACTTGAATTTCAAAAAAGTTATCTTTGGAAATAGTCTTAAAAAAAAATATCTCAATGGAAATAACGTTAGAAATAATGCTAGAATAATTACCACACAGATTATAATTTGACAAGCTGTCAGATGTGTGAAGAAGACTTCCACTGGAGTCATGAGGTCTGTTACAAACCCGTAAGTGTTATTCTTGAACTGACAGAAATGTGTTAAATTGTGTCTTGACTTGGTTATCTGGAGGTACAAGCCTTCCCCTCTGGCGATCACCAGCTGGGTGATGCACTCCAGTGATGGACCTGGTTGTGTCCCAGTTTGGAGAGTCCTGCTGGGGAGCCTGCCCAGCAGATCAGTTCTCTGTGAGGGGGAGGGCAGCCAGGCTCCTGCCTGTGGGCCAGTCAGATGGACCCCAGCTCACACAAATCCATGTTGCTTTCCTAACATCACTCCACTGACTGAATGACAGCAGAAGTAACTGTAACAACTCCCGAGGATTATAAAATTTACTATGCCGATGGTCTTCCTGAACTGCCAAACTATTGGAAGCATGGCAGGCAGATGGGCAGGACCTCTGAGCTCCTTCTGCCTGGGCAGGGACAGGCACAACAGATCACTCTGGTTTTCCTTTAGCAAAGCTTTCACTGCAGCACTGGAACAACAGGGTTTGCACATGTAACCTGGAGTGATGAGGGAACACAAACGCCCACAGCGTTACACAGAAGCACTGGAGTCAGACAGAAGGGAGTTGCTTGAAGAGATCATATACCTACCCTAGCCTTAAAATAGGAGCAGCATAAGTGAGCTCAAATGATAGCAGGAGAGGCCTCAGAGCCCGAAGGAGTCGCTCCTGTCTCTAAAACACTTGTTTCATTCTCGATTACCATTCATGTCTTACAGCCATGGGGAGAGAGGTTATGCTAATGGCATCTGTAATGTCAGTGACTGATGTGACAGCAAAGGAACAAAAGATGCTGCATGGGGATGAGACAGCAGGCTCCTGGGGATGGGCACTCCCTCTGACCCTGGGACAGGGACTGGTTTGCAATCCCACCATCGTCTGCCTTGAGCAGGCTGTGCTGGCCGGCCCGCCCTGCACAGGACGGGGTGAGCCTGGCCCAGGGGCAGCAGCAGAGAGGGCCCACCTGGGAAAAGCTGAGCCCCTGCACAGGGAAGGGTGCCTGGGAGGGGTTAGTGACAATGCTTGGCATGCAGTGCCCACATGGAGGGCCATCTGCCTGGGCAGGGGCTGGCAGGTGTGAGCAGAAGGCCAGCACATGTTTCTTAGCGTGTGGTCCTTCTCCCTCACTCCAGTTCCACTGTAACAGCAACACTTGCCACTGTGATTCCCAGGGCAGACTGGAAGGAGCAGTGAACCCCTTCTGAAGCCCTTCACTGACTGAATGCCTGCTGCACCAGTCTGGGAGCAGCTCCTTGATGTGCTGCCTACTGGTGTCTCTGCTTAGCTGGTAGCCAAGATTTCTGTATCTCTGCAAACAGAGTCTGCTAAACGTGTACACTTTTCTGTGTCAGCTGCTGTCTGATCAGTGTATGGCCCTGTATTTACAGGAATACCCAAGAATCAGAAAGCCAGTAAGAAATGGGCTGAACTCTCAGGCAGCTGTGAGCTGTCACCTCGTACCTCCCAGTCCCTACAACATCTGCCATGGGCATTTCACTTGAATCAAACAGTGACAGTCCCAAAATGATACAGCACAGCACAATGAGAACAGGAGACTATTGTAACAAAACCAGAAATGTGGCTGTGCTGGAAAAACAGGAAAAAGGCTGAGGGAGAGTGATACCTGCAGTGCTGTGGGACCAAGTAGGAACACGTGGCTGGTGTGACAGAAGAGTAGGACACTAAGAAACATCCCAAGTGCTAACTGTGCCCAACTGCAGCAGTCCTGGCAGAGCCCAACTCAGCACCCTGCAGAAGCAGCAGGCAGCAAAGATGGGATCTTCTCAGCTCTCAACTTGCCACATCCTTATTTCTAGCCCAATTCTGTCCCCCTTGGCCAGGCCTACTCTGTCTCTTCCCCGCTTCTCCCACTGAGTACTCTGGAACTGACTTCCTGATGGCCCCCCAGACTGGTCAGGCCCTAGTCTGTGTGACACAGCCATATAGTGTCACTGCAACACTGAAGTCACCCCAGGCTCTAGGGCTGTCTCTGAGATCACAATTTGGACTTAATTTTTACGTCTGTTGACAGCCTTTACACATGGAAGCTGCTTCTTGGCACACGTGCCCATTGTGAGACACAAGGCTGCCTGTACCTTGCTCTCATCTCTTTTCCAGCTGTGCTTAGTTTGCTCTTTAAGCTTTCTTGCCCCTGCAGCTGGGACTAGGAATAGGGGAATTAACAGGCAGTGGCTGCCTTCAGTTTGCTGCAGAGCTGCACCAGCACTTGACTCCTGGCTCCTGTTTTTCTTACTTGCTTTCATCAGAGGGTATTTCCAGTCACTGAGTGTGTGAAAACCTCCCAAACCTTCCCCAGAAGGTCCCTGTGAGGCTGAGCCGGGCACAGAGCAGCCTGACACCCCTCTCTCCTGGGTAGGGAAGTGCCACACAGCCCCCCTTGTCCCCAGGTGCTCAGATGAACGACATTCAAGGAAATCCTCTCTATTTAAAAACTTGTTCCCATCCAATCAGATTTTACCTTTTCTGCTTGGCTGAGCTCGTCCTTATTCCTGAGCTTATCCCTGTGCTTGGAATCTGGGTCAATGCTTTCATCTTCTAAAAACTGCATGTTCATATTCAAAAGCCAAGCAGCAGTGCGGTCCAGGGCATTGGGGTTCACAGGAGAAGGGGCCTACAATGAAACATACAACCATAACAAAAGAAAAACCTGTAACAGAAATGGTCATGAAGCTCAAGAGAGAATTTCCTTCTGAGCAAGCCCTCAAAACAGCAACAGGCAACTGAGCTACCAGAGCAGTCAGGGTGGGGGGGTAGCAACAACTCCTGTTCTGCACCTGCATGTTATTTTAGGTCCAACAGCAGATTCTTCCCTGTGCCACCCCACAAAACAGAGGTACAACCACATGTTGCTGGGGGGTCCTGCTGACAATAACAGGCCCAGGTTTCTAAGCAGGTCCTGCCCTCTCAGAAGGGCAAGACTGGAGAAGATGCTGAGCTGGAGGAGAACGGTGTGACTGGACAGGGGATGTTCCTGCCTCTAGCAGAGATTTCACTCAACTCTTCAGTGTCTTCTACTGAGCCATCTTTTTGCTTGCTGTGGAGATTTGTACAAATAAAACCAGATCTGCAAACTGAAATGCTACTGTTGGTCATGCATGAGCCTTCTTGGAAAAGAAAGGTTTCCTTTTGGCTGAGACTACATGTAAATGCTGGACCTCTGTGTGCCTCAGCTCCAGGTTTGGTCACGTAGCTACGGGAGCTCATGGAGCAGTGCTGTTCTACTGCCCATGGCCTAGAGCTGCAGCTGCTGCTCTGCAGTCCTAGCCTGGCCAGGGCCTGCCAACTGCTTTGCTTACATGTCTTCCAGCCACGTTATCAGGTTGAGGAAGTGACTCTCCAGCTATTTCCCCTCCATCGTGGCTCAGTTCTAAACAGTAGTAAAGTGCTTCTTGGATGAACACAAGGGATCTGGATGACTTGGTTGAGGGAATTCAAGTTAACAAGTCAGAAATGTCCTCCGGGGCTTTCTCCTTCATTCAAACCTCTGGACAGTAGAGAAATCCAGCAGCAGAATGGCAGGTTCTGTACTTGGAAGAAGTGTGGATTGGTTTAACCACCTCACTGGGGTCAGAGCTTTCCAATGCCACCTTCCAGACTGGTCTTCTACTTCCAGCATTTTATATCAGAAGTTTCAGACTTGGCTCATGAACATCACCTGTTAGAAATCCTCTCCTGGCTTGTGGCTTTCTGCTTTTTTTTTGCATCTCCAGCTGGGTACTGCACCTGTGGTGGCTGCTCAGAATTCCTGGCTTCAAAGAGCAGCAGCCACCTGGGTTCCTTTCAGCAGTGTAAAGGTTGGTATGGATGACAACGAACAGAGCTCAGCCCACAGTGCATGGACAGGACCTTCTGCCTCTTTCTTCCCTCTCTGAAGAAGAAAACAGGACATCTGATCTGGCATGGGGCAGTTTGGAAGTCAGTTCAGCAGACGAACCTATAGGAGCAGAGGAAGTGCTTCTGGCCAGC